GTATCACCTGAGTTGATGTGTTTGAAGAAAGAAACTTTGTTTGGTAAGTTAAATGTTTAGAAGGAACATCTGAATTTGAAGAATGTTCATTTTAAGTTTTGTTTGAACAGATTTTTTGGCAGTGGATAGGCCATCAAATTTTTAAAAATGACAATGGAGAAACTTGGTTATGGGTGCTGTATTTTTACAACCAGTTTTACACATCATCATCATCAATAAATAATATCATCAGAACTTTCCACTACTGTTAAAGCCTCTCTCATATCATAAGCATCTTTAGTTCTTTTTCATAGTGTTAATATCAACTTTTCAGTATTTTCTTTATACATTAGGCCCTATAAAAAATATTATTAGTTTATCACCCTATCTGGGCAGGAAAAGTGATGAGGGAGGGAGGTTTTTTTTTTTAATTTTTAATTTTGCTAAAGCCAAATATCATCCTTGGGTTGTTTGCTGGTTCCTTTTCAAATTAAAACATGATTTAGATAAAGCAAACAATATCTACTAACTATTTATAAAATAAATGAAAAAAATAAATAAATAAAATAATTTAAAAAAAAAATTCAACAAAAAAAATTGTTTTCACAATTTTTTTTTTTTTTTAGTACCATAAAAGACATGCGCGCGAGGGTGATAAACTAATAACTTTTTTTATTGGGCCTTAGCTCATCTATTCTCTCTACCCACATCTGCATTTAGCCATTGTTGTTGCTACTGTTTCAGTTACTATACTCGTACAAATAACGGAGTGTAAATAAATTAAGTTATACAACGATTAAGAATGTAACCATAGTAGAGGTCAATATTAACCATACACAATGCCAAGGACACTATTGCAATACTATCTTTTAATAATAACAATTGTAAAACCTAGCTTAAATATTTACATTGAAAAAAGGTTAATTGTTCCTGCAAATTTTATTAAACTGTTTGGTGAGCATTTACTGACATATTGAATGTGTATAAATTTGTAGTAATAGCAGTGGAGTCAGGAGTTCCCCAACTGGTGTCCATTGTGGGTACCCCTACAAATGGGCCTCACCAGTAGTTACCGTGGTTGGGGCTATGGTGGAAAAATATGTACAGTAGGTTACTGTATGGGTGTGTATCTACTGATAAACACAAAATAATCAATTTTTTTTTAACTAACTGCTTGCAGTTTTCACGGTAGAAATTACATCACCATTTGGTTTATACAACACGTTTTCCAAACTTTATTTCTCGCCATCGAGACATTATATTTTCACGTGAATGATTTCGGTTGTGCTCATCGGCACAACGAATGAACAAGGACAATGGTAGACCCAGAAGAACGGAGAGGCCTAGGTCCAAATTCCCCCACCAAAATTATTACAAAAAAAGTAATTTTGTCACTCCACATGTTTGTTGACACTTTAGCTTGTAGCCCTAGGATAAAAATAAAAGGACTAATCACTTTGAAAGTGTGCGCGAGATACGATCCAGCTTTGTAATGGTTTGACCTGGAGGTCACATTTAACCTGATAATCGCTTTTTGTGTTGCAGCTAAAAAGTGCACAGCCAAAATTGGTTATTTGCCGTTCAAACACGATCCATTGCATTTTTTTAATCAGTTTTTCCTTTCCAGTAGAAACAAGTCCTATGTCTAGATGCCTGAAGATGGCCAGCAGTTTCTGGCTTACAGAAAGATTATGATTAATTTTTCCCTGACAGATTTTATTCTGCCTCCTCATTGGCTGGTCCAGGTATCCCTGGTGGCTGGGCCTAGCTGGCCCACCCTCTGGTGCCACCTCCCACAACTTAACAAGCAATTGTGTATAGGCTTCGTTTTTTTTATTATTCCTTTTTTTAATCACTGAGTATAAAATCTAAAACTAAACTGATGAAAATTGTTTAAATTAATCATAATACCAACTATTTTAAAAGATATTTTGAATGATGGTGATATCTTTTGATAATTAATATCAAGACTAACATTCTAATAATGATTATTTAATTTGATTGATAATAAGCAGTATGGCGATAAATGATAATTTGATAATTATTGCAATCAGTCATAACTTGATGAAGATAATGATGATATTGAATGGTATTTGATGATGATATGATAAATATATTGATCATAATTGTTCAAATTAATCATAATACCAACTATTTTAAATGATATTTTGAATGGTGGTGATATCTTTTGATAATTAATATCAAGACTAACATTCTAATAATGATTATTTAATTTGATTGATAATAAGCAGTATGGCGATAAATGATAATTTGATAATTATTGCAATCAGTCATAACTTGAAAATAAATGAAAAAAATTAATAAATAAAATAATTTAAAAAAAAAATTCAAAAAAAAAATTTTTCACAATTTTTTTTAATTTTTTAGTACCATAAAAGACATGCACGCGAGGGTGATAAACTAATAACTTTTTTTATTGGGCCTTAGCTCATCTATTCTCTCTACCCACATCTGCATTTAGCCATTGTTGTTGCTACTGTTTCAGTTACTATACTCGTACAAATAACGGAGTGTAAATAAATTAAGTTATACAACGATTAAGAATGTAACCATAGTAGAGGTCAATATTAACCATACACAATGCCAAGGACACTATTGCAATACTATCTTTTAATAACAACAATTGTAAAACCTAGCCTAAATATTTACATTGAAAAAAAGTTAATTGTTCCTGCAAAACTGTTTGGTGAGCATTTACTGACATATTGAATTAGTATAAATTTGTAGAAATAGCAGTGGAGTCAGGAATTCCCCATCTGGTGTCCATTGTAGGTACCCCTACAAATGGGCCTCACCAGTAGTTACCGTGGTTGGGGCTGTGGTGAAAAAATTATGTACAGTAGGTTACTGTATAGGCGTGTATCTACCGATAAACACTTAACTGCTTTTTTAATGAGTGCCACCTGCCTGCGTTGCAACTGCATTTTTGCTTTTACGAAAATCGGTTTTCACGGTAGAAATTACATCACCATTTGGTTTATACAACACATTTTCCAAACTTTATTTCTCGCCATCGAGACAATATATTTTCATGTGAATGATTTCGGTTGTGCTCATCTGCACAACGAATGAACAAGGACAATGGTAGACTCAGAAGAATGGAGAGGCCTAGATCCAAATTCCCCCCACCAAAATTATTACAAAAAAAAGTAATTTTGTCACTCCACATGTTTGTTGACACTTTAGCTTGTAGCCCTAGGATAAGAACAAAAGGACTAATCACTTTGAAAGTGTGCGCGTATACGATCCACCTTTGCAATGGTTTGACCTGGAGGTCACATTTAACCTGATAATCGCTTTCTTTTTTTTTATTATTCCTTTTTTTAATCACTGAGTGTAAAATCTAAAACTAAACTGATGAAAATTGTTTAAATTAATCATAATACCAACTATTTTAAATGATATTTTGAATGATGGGGATATCTTTTGATAATTAATATCAAGACTAACATTTTAATAATGATTATTTAATTTGATTGATAATAAGCAGTATGGCGATAAATGATAATTTGATAATTATTGCAATCAGTCATAACTTGATGAAGATAATGATGATATTAAATGGTATTTGATGATGATATGATAAATATATTGATCATAATTGTTCAAATTAATCATAATACCAACTATTTTAAATGATATTTTGAATGATGGTGATATCTTTTGATAATTAATATCAAGACTAATATTCTAATAATGATTATTTAATTTGATTGATAATAAGCAGTATGGCGATAAATGATAATTTGATAATTATTGCAATCAGTCATAACTTGATGAAGATAATGATGATATTGAATGGTATTTGATGATGATATGATAAATATATTGATCATAAATGTTCAAATTAATCCTAATACTGTACCAGCTATTTTAAATGATATTTTGAATGATGGTGATATCTTTTGATAATTAATATCAAGACTAACATTTTAATAATGATTATTTATATTTGATTGATGATAAGCAGTATGGCGATAAATGATAATTTGATAATTATTGCAATCAGTCATAACTTGATGAAGATGATGATATTGAATGGTATTTGATGATGATATGATAAATATATTGATCATAATTGTTCAAATTAATCATAATACCAACTATTTTAAATGATATTTTGAATGGTGGTGATATCTTTTGATAATTAATATCAAGACTAACAGTCTGGCGATAAATGATAATTTGATAATTATTGCAATCAGTCATAACTTGATGAAGATAATGATGATATTGAATGGTATTTGATGATGATATGATAAATATGTTGATCATAATGATACAAAGTTATGATTTACTATTATATGAAAATACAGGATGATTATTTAAACAATACTAGATAGTAATGATGATGCTAATGATGATGATGCTGTGATGATGATGATGTGATGGTGGTAATGATGATGATGGGGATGTTACAGATGGACGATTTGATCATGTCAGATGAATTATGATTTCATGATGATAAAAATGACGAAGAATTATAGTTTGATGATGATGCATTATGGCTTGATGATATTAATGATATTGATTTAATTTGATAATAAAGCAGATGATAAATGATAATTTGATGATGAGACCGATGATAAATAACGAATTATAGTTTGACGATGCATTATGGCTTGATGATATTAATGATATTGATTTAATTTGATAATAAAGCAGATGATAAATGATAATTTGATGATGAGACCGATGATAATAATAATTTGATGATTTGATTCTGTCTCAATGACTATAAATTTGTGAAATTAAATGACATTCATATTAGTCATGTCATCTGGTGCACATTTGTATGTATTTTTACATTTATATGTATTTTTACATTTGTATGTATTTTTACATTTGTATGTATTTTTACATTTGTATGTATTTTTACATTTGTATGTATTTTTACATTTGTATATATTTTTACATTTGTATGTATTTTTACATTTGTATGTATTTTTACATTTGTATGTATTTTTACATTTGTATGTATTTTCTTTTTTCTATAATAGCAAAGTTGGTCTGGATTCGTGATTGGACGTTCAGTAAAATTGGAGAAGACTGGATTTTTCTCTTTCTTCTGGGGATGCTGATGGCTCTCCTGTCTTTTGGATTAGACTACACTATTGCAAAATTTCAAACAGGTAGGGAATTTCACCTAAATGGAATTTAGCAAATATTCAAACAATTATTTGAATAAACAAATATACTATAGAAAGCTAAAATAAACAATTTATTTTAATAGTTATAGTTAATGGGGAAAACCTCAAAAAATTATTTAAAAAATGATTAATTAGTGATTATATCTGGTAAGACAGATAGATGCTTAATAACTAGACTTAAAGAACATTCTTCACAATCAGATAGTGTCATAAATGATCATTTAAAATGTGGGGATTCCAATATGTTTTAGGTTTACAAGGTATAATTGAAAACGATAATGTGGCCAGTAATGTAAGTAATAAATTAGGTATAATATTTTCTAATACTAACATAATCGACAGTTTGCAAAATTGGTTTGATATACGTAGGCTACACCCATTGCTTAAAACAATGGGCTGAAAGCTTCAAATGAACTTTCTTTGTTTTTCTAGGTAGCTTTGATCAGGGTAGGGTAAGGATGCTTTGATCTTTAGTTTATTCATAACTATGTAACCTACTAGGGGTAATGTTTTGATTGGTTAAACACTTTTGGTACTTTTACATATAATCTTGTAAATATGGATAATTTTTCATTCCTAATGATGACATAATTAATGTCGTAATATTGAATCCTGATACGATGCCATGCATTTGAATTTCGATACTTGAAGTATGTATTATACTATCTTATCTGAGATTAATCAGTGGACCTTTTGGTTTCAGACCAAGTAAGTTATTAATCATTGACAGATATTGTTGTAATACAAAAAGTAAATTGATCACAGTAGAAATTACCAGAACTTTTAGGGTGTTGAACAAGTATGGATCTGAATGTTATTTACATCACATTAATTTTTGAGAAAAAATATTTTCTCATTCGGATTTCAAATATTGAAGTATATTTTCCAAGAATTGTAGTTTTGAGACAAGATGCTTTGGTTTCAATTCCTGTGTTTCTGGTTAATGATTTATCTTAATGTTTCCTAGACTGTGGGAATAAACTATAACATCACATTTACATCCATTTCAAACTCAAAAGCTGAACTCTATGGGCACCTTACATGTTAATGTATTAAGAGTTTCATTCTGTTTTCATTAATATTTAAAAATAGAATTACATTACTATGCAGTTATTAAATAGATTATTCATTTCTAAAAATTAGTGTTAATTTAAAATAGTTTGTATTATTATACAATGATAAAACACTATAAATAAAACTGATAAATAATAATATTTATGAAATTGTTTGATAAAAACTTTATAATTAGTGTCCAGTACACATTAGTGAAATATGATTGAAAATTGATACCAAATTGATTTTAATAGTTTAATTATAGTCTATTTTATGAATACTTACCTGGATAAACTGACTAATCGCCTATTCTTTCTCAAACATGAGAACACCCCTCGAAAACAAAATTATATTGATAGGTAATGAAAAATGATAATATAATTATAATACATTTCTCCCTCCAATTAAAAACCACTTTTAGGACTATGGGTTTCATGGTCTTTAACAGCTTTGGTCTCTAATTAGAATGATAAAGATAAAAGACATTTTCTAATTTGGGACCACAGAAAAGGGGTCTTTAATTGGAGGTGGCCTCTAATTGGAGGAGTCTTTAATTAGAGAGAAACCTTTAGTGTCAGTAATGATAACCATTAATTTGAATGTAGTAGTCATACCCAGAAAAAGACATTCATTATTATACATTAAAGGATTCAGAGAGCAACCCCAATACACTGGTTAGAATGCCAACACTGTATATGCGACTTCCTTCATACCGTTGTTATCTGTTAACTCAGCTTTACTATATTGTAGTTAAAAACCATTTAAACATGCTGGGATGAGAATCAGGGTTATTAACAGCTTTTAACAGCTTGCATTTGGTCCTTTGGGGAATATCTCAACACAATAAACATCTGTTCAGTACTGAACAGTAGTATGAGATAGACCAAGACACTGTAACCTTTCTAAATATTGTCTAGTACACTTTCAATCAATGCCATAGCTAGCTATTGTGACAGTCCCACGCAATTTTTCTAATGGGTCCACAAAGAATGGGTGCACATTTTTAAAAATGGGTACAAATTATGCAATTTCATGCAAAATGAGTCCAGATTTCTTGTAAAATGGGTCAAAATTTTTCATATTTGTGCGTAAATGGGTCAACTTTTAAGAAAATGGGTCCACATTATTTAAATTTATGTGTAAGTCGGTCCACCCTGATATTGTCATACATTTTCAAAAGTCAAAGATTACTGCACAACAAAAAAAAAAAATAATAAAAGAAACTATAGAATAACGAGTAAACAAACATAAAATATAAAAATTCTTGTAAAAATAAAAATAGGCTCCCAGCGGGATGTCTATGCCCTATACTGCATTACTGTATTATGGTTAATTAATAAAGTATCCACATGGGGTTTGGTTATCAGGAAATGTGTGGTGTTGTATTTTTTTTATGACTCTTGTACAGTAATAAGGTACTACTTAGGATGACACATGACCCATCATGCACCTCCAGCGGATTTACCCTTTCAGCCATCTTTAACTGTCGGACGACAACATAGTGTCTGTCTGCGAGGGGGCATATACACAAAAACTGTACTCTAAATTTTTCAGCATTATTATTAAAGATTAATATTTTATTCAACAAGTCCGAAAGAGTTTAAAATATATTTGAATACTATGAAAACAATAATTTTTTTAGCACTAAATAAATAAGGTCACACTCAAAATAGGAGCATTGCTCACAGCTCAGAGTTAATCTTAATCCTGCCGCCCCCACACACGTCATCAGGATTAAAGTAACATCCAACTGTCATGTATTTTCTGCGATTGTTAAGTTTTTAAACTGCAATTAATAGTGTTAAGCTGTGTCATTGACCTAGCCACAGACTTATTCATAGCATGGAGCTACCTGTACCACTTCTTTCTGTGTAGAATCATATAGATTTTAAAATATTAAAAACTGGGGCAAAAGGGGCATAACCACCATTTTTTCCACTTTTTCCCCCAGTTTTCAAATTCAAAAATCTCTATCTCATTAACAGCTCCCAAGTTTTTCATAAAAAGGTCGAGCGTTTTGTGTCTTCGAAAAATCAGTTCAAACATCAAATTCAAACATATCAAATTTGTTTTTTCTTGACTTTATATGGCTAAAGCAGAACTGTAAGGATTTGTTGTACCAGCTGGATGGCTGCTTATTTGCCTTGACAACTAAGTGTGTATTATAATGATGTCTTTTGAATTTTTTTCTTAAAAGGCATGTCGTACAATCTCAGTGTGCAAATCCAAATTTGAAATCCTTTATAAGAACTTATCAAATAGAACTCCCTATGCAAGTGATAGTGAAAACTAGTCCACACTTCCATCCTCAATGGATAGTCATTCATTATAGTGAGTAATGCTTTTTAAAAGTGACTCACCATTAAAGTTTAACAAAATTTGTAGCTTTGTAACAAAATTGAATGTGTATTGCAGTATATTTATGCATATTTCAATATCAGTTGTTTAGCACAGAAGGAAAAAAAATACACAGTGAATTTTACTTAATTCGTTTTTTTGGAAATTTGGACTAGCCGAATTCAGTAGGTTACAGTAGAATATACTAATTTGGCTAATGATACCTGAAACACCGACTTAGAAATTACATTTTTTAGACAAAATTTGATATTGATAATGATGATGTTTGGGTCTGGGAGGATTGGGGTAACGGTTTGCTGTACAATATTTAATCTACGAATTTGGAATAGAGGGGCCTAGGGAGGGAATTTTAATGTCCAGACTACACAGTACTGTACCTCAGTCCCAACAAAAGGAAGTTGATGTCTATGGGCCCATTCGAGCAAAAAACGCCAACCATATTCCGTTTATTTCACCGGGTAATCGCGCTGAGCACTCAGCGGGTGGTCGACCGTTCGAGCAAGTTTTAGCTCACGGTAAATATGTGTAACGAAACTACTCCGGAAGAAAATTTCAACTTATCCCATGGTCAATAACCCATTCTTTGTTTACTTGCTACTGCTGCTATAACCGGCCCACGTACACACAGCGCGGCACGGTGGAACGATATTGTACCTCAATAATTTATAATGGCTGCTTTAAAATCTGTACGTAGGCTAGTTTATTCAAGTTTATTTCTCCGAATAATGGTAAATCTACAAATCAATCGCGTAGCTAGCTATATGCTACTAAATTTAGACTTCGTCGTGCATTTGTGAGGAGGCGAAGGAGAGCTGCAACCACGCCTGGGCCGTTAAACCTATTGAATTTGGCGCTAGGTTGTGGGCAAAACTTTTGGAAAAACAATTAAGGTTGATTTATCATCGCCTCCGGCTCCATGGTCATTCCATACACGGTATTCTACCCAGCAATTTGGTGGTCAAAATTGTCGCTGATAATCCAGATGGAAAGGTAATTAGACTAGTGTCCGAGCGGTTTTAGAAAGTTTGTACCGGGGGAATTAACTGGTAAATCGCACGGATATTTTTTCGCTCGAACGGGCCCTATGGTGCCCAGAGATGGCCAAGTATATGACCTAGCCTACAGTAGATGGCTGCCCTCTCCTCCCCCAACTGAATCTGCTCCGATAACAGCACTGTTCCTTATAATTTTGGAAGTGCTGATCATTTATATCAAAAAGGTAGTCATCACTTTTGTACTGTATTTGTTTTTTGTTTTTTCAGCCCATATATGGGTTTACCGTGAATTGGCAGGCCATCCGTTCCTGCAATACCTTGCCTGGTGCTTCTATCCTATCATATTCGTCGTATTTTCAGCAGGGTTCGCACATTTAGTAGCACCTCAGGCTGTCGGTGAGTTTGAATTTGACTTTTAAGCCTTATCCAGGCTATCATGTGACATATATGTTATTAAACAAAAACATGTGGCATGCTTAAATATTGTCATGATGACATCATATCATGACTAATATATGCATATCATGACCATATATGGGCATACAACAGCTTTTTGTCACAGTAAATTTGATAGTGTGAATAGAGCTTTACATAAAGCTCTGTCCACACTAATCAAATTGTATGTGACAAATTTGTGTGATGTGCCCATATTATGGACATGATGATATCATACTACACCCAAATATGGGCATATCACAAAAATTTGTCACAAAATTTGATAGTGTAAACAGAGCTTAAGAACATTAACTGTTTCTAGTATCATATTTTCTGTAAGTTTCTGCACAGTCTGATTTGCTTTAGTCTAGTGTACACTCATCTTAATTTTCTCATCCTTTAAATCTGGTTGTGGTTGTGGTTGACTTCTCGTTTGTTTGTCGGTCTCTTTCTTGATGCTTATAAGCCGGGCACTCACTACATCCGACGATGATTCTGTAAAACGCAACGCGGCAACACGTGCGCAATATACCGTTTTTAATGATGATCCGTTCAGACTGACAAACGGTAGACGGTCGTAGCACCGTTTAGCGCTCACATTGAGCAGAGTTGGATTTATTGTGCGACAGTCGTACGGCTGCGTATGACACAGATAGTGCCCAGCTTTACCGTATGTTGTAATCTTATATATTTTAAAATGAATGAATCAATAGCCAGCAATACTTGAAAAATAATGTAATATTTATTATCGTTCATGTCATTTTTTCATATCATTTTCTCATATAACTCTTGGCCTCTATATTTTGGTAGATTTTGTAAACAATAAACAATTATTATTTTAGTCAATATTTCCTTCCATATTGTCTGGTAGTAATGCTAAATTTTTTTTTGTCTTCAGGATCTGGTATACCAGAGATGAAAACAATTTTACGTGGTGTTGTTCTGAAGGAATATTTGAACTTTAAAACATTAATAGCCAAGGTTGTCGGACTGGCAACATCGGTTGGCAGTGGTCTTCCACTTGGAAAGGAGGTATGATGTGTGCAGTGGCGGCTCTAGGATATATTTTCTTGAGAGGGGCTACTGTAAGCTGTCCAACAGGGGGACTTGAGCTTGTAGTCCTGAGCTGGGGGAAGGGTTCGAGAGGGGGTATTCACACAGACATGTGTTGGCTTGGCGTGGGCCTATTTTTGTATCTTTTTTACTCTGACTACCCAAAAAGCTCTGTCCAATGTGAGGGGGAGGGGGGCTTGACCTGTCTGGTGGGGGGACTTAAGTCCCTGCTGACCTCCCACTGGTGCCGTCACTGGATGTGTGGAATACACTTGAATTAATAAAATGTTAAACAGTGCAACATTGCAAATTATTCATATGCAGAGTCGCATTAGTCAGCTGTTACTACTACTACAGTAAAGAGAAGGTAAAGCAGACAATACTTTAAGGACTACTTGAAATATTTATTTTGACAACACAAGCTTTCATACAAATCCACAATAGAGTACCATACCCCTATGGTACAGTACATTTACAAGTAATAAATATAAGTATTGATGTTTCTCAGGTTTGCCCAACACAAAAAGGTTAACTTACGACTTAAAAACAACTCTTTTTGCATATTCAGAATCATGCTTTTTATTTGTTTGTCAGTATTAAATTAATTTATTGGTATAAAAAAATATGCAGGTACTTAAAAAATAACAAGAAAATCATACACATACTGTATTATTATACATATAAAAATATGAAAACCAACTTCATTCACTATGTCTCGTCATTGGGGTCGGGTCATCTCATTATCATCCTCCATCTGGTGAGATCTATTACTGCTTCTCATTCTTCATTCAGTCTCTCAGTATGAACTCCACAGATCGCTGTTAAACACCTCATCTCTGCAACCTTCAGCTGTAATTCCTTGATGGCCCTTGTCTCAGCCCCATACAATATCACTGTTCAGACCATTGTATTTTGTATTAAAAAATAATAAAATATGAAAATATAAAGTGTAAAAGTTAGTATATTTTACTGTTATCTAAATATGGCAAAACATTGTGATTACAGTGCACTTCTTTACAAGTAGTGTCAGAAGTACCTGTTCTGTGTAATCTTATTACATACACACACGCGCGCACACACACACACTGTAGTTTGGCTACTAATCTATCATTGTACCATTTGTCAATGGTGTATTCACTTCTGCATAAAATATCACTATTACAACTAGTTCAGTAGTCAACATATTTGATCTCTTTCATTATACTCTAGACATCAAGCCTCCTTCATAACATCACATGTTATGAAGGAGCAAGCAACTGAAACTTGTTTTAGATATACAGTGTATATTCTGTCTGCTGATCAGAATTTTGGGATACAATTGACCAGCTAAATGTAGCCTAACTATTGTTAATCAATCTGAATGAATGAACAGAATACAGGTTTGCCTCGAATTAAAGACCCCTCCAATTAAAGACCAACTCCAATTAAAGACCATTTTTTATGTTGTTCTATATAAGATTTCTTATCTTTAATATTCTGATTAGAGATCAAAGTCCATGGAAACCCTTGTTCCAAAAATTGTTTTTAATTCGAGGGAGACCTGTACCATAAATCATTAATGTGAAAATAACTAATTCATTATTTTCATATTAGTTAATAAACCATAAATAGTTTCACTATAAAAGAATATAACTGACTGCTGTGAAGTTATTTGCAGTAACTAAGGGGCAAAAAGTTTATTCAGCATTAGGGCCTACAATATTGCTAGGCCTTATTGCAGGTATCCTTGTTCTTGATGGACTCGTTCTTTTGATAGAAATATAACAGTACAGAGTATGTACAAACAAGCAGTCAGTTACTGTGAAATTTATTGGCTGTCACTAATAAACATAGGGGCATAAAGTTGATTTAGCATAGGGCCCTATTGTATTGTTAGGCCTTATTGCATTTATTCTTGTTCTTGATTGGTATGTATAAACAAGAAATCAAGCAGTTCATGTTTTTCTAAAGCTTGGGAAAGCAACGTAATCACTGAGTAGTTATTCCTCTTGAGATGTTTCCAACTGTGGAGGTGGTTTAGAAATACTACACCATTATCAATAGTTTAGATCAACCATAAGCATGTATTGTTCTGAATAGTCAATGTGTGTTGTGGGGTTTTTTTTTAAGTCAACTACGAACAACATTGGTTTAAACTACTAGAAAATACCATATAATAATAAATATAGACAATGGTGTGTTTTAGTATTTGTCAGATTGTCGCCAATAAAATCGGCGTCAGTGAGATTTTGTAAAAATGAGGTTAAACTGATAATGGTAATATGATCATCGTAAATGATATTGATGAGCCAAAGCATTGTGAGTCTACCTTGATGTGAATACCAGTATCTTTTCTTTGGACTCATAAACAGCTCCAATTGCAAGATATGAAACTGTAGATGAATACATGACATGGGTACAGGGTACTGTAGTTTTACTTCAGAAATCATGCCAGTGGGAAAAAATGTCAGTAGGAAGAAAAACCATTAACAAAGGAATAGTCAATTTCAGTATAGGGTGTTAGCTAAGACATAGAACAGAGCTGTCACACACACAGTTAATCCAACTCATATGGTAATTACTGATGTTCATGGTATAATTAGGAAAGTATCAGTTATTTCTTCATTGTATTAACTAGGCCTAATTTATTAGGTTGTATTTAATTTACTAAATTTAGCATGAGCTTCATCATTTCTGTTTGTTGAATTTCTTTAAGTATCATAATACATTTACTTAAAATAAATTGCATTTATTTTAAGTAAATACAATCTAATAATAATGATTAATAGGCTGTATTTAAGTAAGTAAAATGTACTGCGATACTTAAATAAATACAACCCTATAATTCATTTTTTTTTTGTATTGAGTATCATATAGTAGGTCTACATTTAATAATAATGGTACTGTACTTCTTTCTAAGGACATTTTTTCCTGCTGGCATTGTTTCCTACCTCCACTTTACTTCAGACATTGTTTGTTGGTCTGTGCAATGGACCATAACATGTCTACAGTAGGAACAGTCCCACAATCCCTAGGGAGAGGAAGAGGTTTCATGTTGTGCGTGCTTGTCGATTTATGAACCCCATTGCAGTGGTTATAGCATTGCAAGAACTGTACTTTGATACTTTAAGCTTCTTGTCAAAAAATGTTACAAAATCAACATAATATTATTGACTAATGCTATTTCAGGGGTCCCAGGTTGGAAGAACCCATTTCCGGGAGATTTGTTGAATGACATTGGGGTGCTATATATTCTATGAGGAAAAAGTGTAGGTACCAATAAGTGCCACGCCCACCTCAGGCCTACCATGATTGGGGCTGAGGTGATGACATTTTATTTAGAATAGGCACCTTTAGAAGCCCGGATGGCACTGTCAGGCTGCAAAAAATAATCGGCAACCAAAGTTTAGGTCTAAATACAACAAAAAGATTTGTTTTTACTGAATTTGTGGGAGATAAGTGAATTTCCGGGAGATGTTTGCAGGAGTGCAGGAGACCATACTGATTTTCCAGGAGACTAGGGACCCCTGCTGTTCCCTCTCTTTAGTATCTATTGATGGATGTAATAGTATGGTAATGGTTGTAGAATATTTTAATGCATAATACTAGGAAGTTCTTTATGCACTTTCAACAAGTGTCCAAAAGAAGTTGAATAAAAGAAACAAATAAAATGAAGAGAAAGAAAAAAGAAACCCAGAACAAAGGAAGAAAAGAAAAACAATGGATGAGAAAATATACGTGTCTGTCCTAAAATATGGAAATGGATGAAGATGCTCATATATTGTTTTGGAGCAGCGAATTTGCGTACATATGATGTTCAAATTTCTAAACAATTCAGTGTAAAAATCTTAGATTTTAGCTACAAAAAATTAAACACCTAATATAATGTTCAAATAAACATGCAGATGTTGATTATAAATCTCATTCTATGATTTTTCTGTTCCTTCAATGCAGAAATATGGGCTACACCACTTCCCATTGGGTAGGAAGGATTGCTAAATAAATGAACTGAATTTATACCAAGTGGTTGTCTAAGGCCAATGAGGATCATAGATACCATAGATCTTTTGTTTTTATCAAAGTGAATTTCTGTAAGATAAACTTTAATTGTTGCTTTGAAACATTTTTGTCTATTCCTTGCTTTTCAATTGTATTTTTACTTTGTATTATTATTTTTTTTTTGTATTTTACTTTAATTACTAAATAAATTAAATCAAATTACCATAAACTATAAAGAAATAATACAATTTTAACATTGTTCATAATGATGAATTGTGAATTGGTTTATATTAGTCAACAAATTATTCATGGATTAACCATATAATTGATAGCTCACACTATAAACTATTTAAAGAAATCACATCATTAAATGTATCGGGTGACGTCAATTATGTAATTGAGAGTAAATCAGTCCCTCATTAGGAATCAATTACATCATTAAATCAAACTTGTTAGAGAGAAAGAAGCTCTTTAATTCTTAATCATATTGATTTCCTTGTCAAAAGCCATCTCAAGAGAAACCAATGACAATCTAATACACAATGGACAATCTTTTTCTGTACACCTCATTCATAATTAATGCTAGTGTATAGCACGTAATGCTACTTTAGGCCTCTAGGAATTAAGATTATTACACCAGTCATTGAAATGAATGCCATGGAAGAACATACTCAACACTTTAATAGAATTATTAATTTGCTTTTCTTGTCAAAAATCATCTTAAAAGAGAAGCTTAATAACAATCAAATACACAATGAATGGACAATCTTTTTCTGTACACCTATTCATAATTAATGCTAGTGTATAGCATGTAATGCTACTTTAGGCCTCTAGGAATTAAGATTATTACACCAGTCATTGAAATGAATGCCATGGAAGAACATACTCAACACTTTAATGGAATTATTAATTTGCTTTTCTTGTCAAAAATCATCTTAAAAGAGAAGCTTAATAACAATCTAATACACAATGAATGGACAATCTTTTTCTGTACACCTATTCATAATTAATGCTAGTGTATAGCACGTAATGCTACTTTAGGCCTCTAGGAATTAGATTATTAAGATCATTGAAACGAATGCCATGGAAGAACATACTCAATACTTTATTGGAATTATAAGTTTGCAAAGTGACTGTCTAATTTATATTATTATATTGCTTTTCTTATCAAAAATCATCTAAAAGAGAAACTTAATAACAATCTAATACATAATGGACAATCTTTTTCTTTATAGCACATTATGCTACTTAGGCCTCTTAGGGATTAAGATTATTACGCCAGTCATTGAAACAAATGCCATGAAAGAACATACGCAGCACATTAATGGCATCATAAGTTTGCAAAGTGATTCTCTAATTATTATCATTTTGCTTTTCTTGTCAAAAACCGTCTCAGAAGAGAAACTAATAACAATCTAATACACAATGGACAATCTTTTTCTGTACTTTGGGAGTACTGTATACCTATTCATAATAATGCTAGTGTATAACACATTATGCTACTTAGACCTCAAGGAATTAAGATTATTATGCCAGTCATTGAAACAAATGCCATGGAAGAACATACTGTACTCATAAAATTGCAGCCGACTAGCTGCGCATTGACATATTAACCCACCACCAGTTACCAACATAGTGTATGACCAGAGAGAGTAAAATGGAGATGGAGCTGGGTGGTTAAGTGCTTGCCTCCCAATCCTATGGTCCTGGGTTCAAATCCTGTGGCAGCACGGGATTTTTTTTTCTCTTGACAAAAAAAAAATTTCCACTCCCCTAACCCTCATATTATGAGACTTACCTGATAAAGCATCACATTATTTTTTGAGAGGCCTCTTAAATATTTATTACCCAATGTTTAGGAATATGCCGAAAGGGTTAGCCTCTATAAATATGGTATTAAAATAGGGGGATGGGGAAGAGATACTCTGCTTTTTCTGAATGGGACAAGTGATTGGCGATTGCAGACAACAAACCCAGGTTCAGCAGACTCTTTAGTTTTAGACCTCAAATATATATTTTATATTGGAACTGAATTCATTCAAAGCAGTCTAAATCATGTTTCCATGTTACAGTGATCTAATGGTTTCTTTTCTTTCTCGTTTATTTTATCAGGGTCCATTTGTGCATATTGCTAGCATCGTATCAACACTCCTCAGTAAATTTATTGTTACATTTAAAGGTATTTATGAGGTAAGTTTAAGAATACTTAAATTTTGTAAGATATAAATTACATTTGATCTGTCTGGCTATATCTTCACAAGATTGGCCTCTCATCATGTACGGCGGAAATTTTACATATTCATTACAGTATTTACTTTTTACATCATGTATTTGTCACGTCTTTCAAGCATCATTCTCAACTTGTTTTACAATTACTTCACCTGCGATCAAATGATCACATTTCAGACACATGGTTATGTCAACAGATGGGTCAGTGTTGACATGATCATACAGTACTTGGTCATAGTTATTTCTCATACCTTACCACGAGGCATCAAACTCTGCTACTTTCATTTTTGTACACATGGGTCATGTTTCCCACAAGATCAGTGTCTTCTTAGCTCTGTCCACACTACCAAATATTTGAGACAAATTTGTGTGATTGTGCCCATATGGGCACATTACACCCAAATATGGGAAAAAAAATCACATTTATTTGTCACATGAAATTTGATAGTGTGGACAGATTTTATTATGTCTCCAAAAAGATGGTTCAATAGACTTATGTTCTGTCCACACTACTATCAAATTTTATGGGATAAATTCGATGAGATGTGCCCATTATTATATGGGCATGATGATGTCATAATACACCCAAGTATGGCCATTATCACATTTATTTGTCACATGAAATTTGATAAGTGTGGATACAGCTTTACATTTTAGCTTTCCAGCTTCAGCACAACCAGAGCAGCAATGACATTAAATTGTGACCAAAATATGTGATAAGGTCACCAAGGTTCAGTTGTCACCTTTCCCGAGTGTCAATCTGACTGAACAACAACTGATCAGTCTGAACAGGGCCAGGAATACATGCATAAATAACAGGCATGTGTTGTCCCACAAACACACATGTGTTTGCGTCGGTTGAAACACTGTCGTTTTGTGGGACCTTAGCAACAGTATCCAAGGGGCGGGGCTTAGAGACAGCCCCTGTGGTGGACGACAAGAGTTGCTTGTTCCCTGGTTACCAGGCAGTACAGACACGAAGAGACCCTTAGGGGCGAAGAAAGTCATTGATCGAGTTTCTAGTCCACATATCAAGCACCCTGAGCATCTTACATTAGATGGATATGTGCGTTATATAAAACTACACTATTATTACTATTATTATTATTATTATTATTATTATTATTATTATTATTATTATTATTATTATTATTATAGAGGAAAGGTCCATTCTGGCATGGAACTTTAGCTCCATGATTCTTTTAACTCAGAGCTTTAGCTCCATGATTCTTTTAACTCAGTAAGTTTGATTGATGGTCTTCATTACATAATATTTCTTGTCTTCAGGTAAAGTTTAATCGTGATGATAGGTATACCTGACAATCCTAGTAATTCACCTCAAGCTGCTCACTCTGTTATAAATATGTCACGGTAAAAACACCTGATGATGCAATTAGATCACCCTGCCACATCCATGCATGATCAAGCTCTTCCTCTGCCATCACCTGATCATTATAAATTACCACCTAGTCATTAGTAACAGTCACCTAGTCATCTGTAACTGTCACATGGTCTATACCAATTCTTCTCTTCATTCTCTCCCGTGGCAATGCATTGCATTGAAAGTCAGGCTGATATCAAGGAGTAAAACTGCAAGAGGTCCGACCGACTCCAGGGGTTTCATTGAAATGCAATCTTTAAAAAGTATTACCACGAACTAGAGGGCAACCTTCAAAAAGAACGTCAAAAGTGTTTGTATCAAACTCGTTCTGCGTCTATTATGGCGATCCAAATTGTCATTTAATCGCAGAGATATCTTAGTTTTAAATAGAGATAACTCTATAATAATCGAGTCTCTATTTAAATTGAAGATATCTCTATTTAAAAACCGTTAAATGACATTTCAGCTCTATAGAACACATTTTCATGTTTCACACTCTATTTAATTTTCTAATAGCGCACCCCCATCTTAAGGTAGTACTTTGTTGTTCGTTTTATTGCCTGCATGCATAATCAGGGCAGTCAGACTTCTTGTAATTCTATACTCTTCTGATATGTTCATGCCCAAGTGCATTATGGGTGCAGGGTACTAAATATTGTATTTCGTTCAAAAAAACGATGTTGCAATATTATAAATCATAATTCATCATATGCAAAAGATTTTGTTTTGTATCAATATGCAAATTATTGATTTGCTTGGAATTATTTTGCCATGTCTCTCCTCTTGTGTTTGTGTTGTCATCTTCAGCAAGCAATTATGCAGCATACTTTAAGAAACAAGACAGTAAGTTCAAAGTTCAACGGCATAAAGCTAGATTCCTCCTTTAGTGTAGTGGCGATGTGCTCTACCTACTAAAGTCCACTAAATCCCAAAATGTTGTGTTGTGTGCTTAATTGCATGATGGCGGAGATAATCAGTTGATTAATTAACTAAGCTGTGCACGCTGTAGTCACTTCGAACTTTCCACTAAATATTTACCTGCAGATATAAACTTCTGCTCAATTTGGTTCTGTGTTAGTGTCAAATGGTTTGAATGATTGATTGCTTTTACCTTACCTTAGATTCATTAATCACAATGTTTTCAGGTAAACACACTGATTTTCAAATAGTGAAAAATAGTTTTTTTTTTTTTTTTTAAACAATATTTGACATTTGCTGTCTTGTGCAGTGATTAGGCTGACGTCAATGAATCCTTTTTGTATACATTTTTTTTTTTTTGGTTAAACAAAACCAACTTGAATTTCACTAATTTAGTAAATCTCGTTGAATGATGGATTTTCAATTAATGGACTTTAGTTTGGTGGTTTAGAATGTATGTTTGTCTTCTAATCTTATGGGCCTGGGTTGTCCTATCATAACCAGAATTTTATACTCACAACTACCGGTATTGACAGCTTCACTATGTAAGCCTCGAGGCATAACTTGGTCTTGAGGGACAGCAGTTGCTTCTTACATCTCATGTACAATTGTAATAAATATTTTGAAAAAAAAAAAAAATTTTATTTACTATTCTCTTCCTTTTATCCCTTTAAGTAATAAACTATTTTATATGCCAAAAAAATTGTAAGAAGATGTGATAAATGGCAAAACAATTCAGTAAAATATTTTTGTAACAGAATATCATAGAAATACTTATCCCTGGGTAATGCCAATTCTACCATCAACTCATGGTATACAAGGGATGCTTGTATCAGCATTGTCACGCCTTAACTAGAGTGGGTCCCTGGCAGTCATATCTGCCAAAGCCAAATGTTTTTGGGGACACGATAAGAAGACTTATCCATATACTATGATAATCATTACTACAATACAGTACATTACATCGCATAACATTTAATAAGTTGTTAAAAAAGTGTTTTGTATTATTATGGTAAACTCGCTTTATTTCAGTTGACAATAATAAATTATTAAAATTGTTTGGTAATAAATTGCTGTAGTAGACTCTTAAATCAAAATGTGTTGTTGATGTGTTGACTAATGTTAATAATTCATCTTATAACTGTGTTTTGAAAATATAAATCTTTCTTTCTGATATATACAAGTAGATTAAAATTTAGATTTGTATTGTTTTCCCGTTCTCCTTTTTATGATATGAAATGTAGAGTTGACGTTGAGTGTAATCATCATCTAATATCATCATCATCATTAGCTGTTAGAATCATCAATCATCGTCATCATCATTGTCAACATCATTATCATCTTCATTATCATCCTTATCATTATTATAACATTATTTCTTTCTAGATGTAGTCACCTACTTCGAAATGAAGACTTATTCAACATCTATTTCATTTGATTACTATTTTTATTATTATAATTATTTTATTGGTATTATTATTATTCTTTTTACAAAAATACAAAAGACTTCATGACATACTCATTAGTTATTGTTTAGTAATTATTTATGTTAGTCATGCAGCCTAAAAAAGGTGCAATAAAAATACAGACTTGATGGTGTTTGTAATGACCATGCAGATAGTGAAAAATACATGGCCATCAAGATAGTTAAAAATACATGGCCATGCAGATAGTGGAAAATACATGGCCATGCAGAGACTGGTAATTACAGACTATGCAGAAACGGCGAATAGTGTGTGCGTACATGCAGACACTTAAAAAGCCATGCAGATGTGACAAAAATTTGCATATACTGTAATAAAATATACTATAGTGAAGATTACAGAAATGGTGACAGATGCAGACATGGTGACAATTGCATGACCATACCTTAATTTTTTCAAGAGATTGTAGCTAATTTCCATCTTATTAAACTTTTCTTTTTAATTACTAAGAATGAATCGCGGAATATCGAAATGCTAGCTGCAGCGTGTGCCGTGGGTGTATCCTGTAACTTTGCCGCTCCCATTGGAGGCGTCCTTTTCAGCATAGAAGTAACGTCAACATATTTTGCGGTTAGGAATTACTGGCGTGGTTTCTTTGGGGCGGTTTGTGGTGCTTTTGTTTTCAGACTCCTAGCTGTGTGGAACCAAGAGGAAGGTAAGTTAGTGTGTTTCCGAGCAACACGATGTACATTAATACTTGTAGTGTATTAGATTTTTAAGTAAAAATTAGAATAATGAAATATTTTCCTTCCAAATAACATCATTTTCTCTTAAATTTTTACCTGCAAATTTAACTAATTTCGTGAAGTAAGTTTCTTCAGTATCAGTTTTTTACCTCTTTGTACTGTACCCAAAACTGTTTTATTTTATGTAGAATTTCTGCTTCCGGCTGTTGTATGCTTTGCAAATATTTTTTTTTTCTAAAGCTATTAGTTTCTGTGTACCGATGTATAACTTTTCATACAATATAGTTTGTTGGTTATATTTAAATGCTTCAATGACAAAAATTTTAATTGGTTAAAAGCAATCCTTAAATATGGTTAATGTTATTTGTATCCGAAGTAGTGTTCATTTTACAATATACTGTAATGTATTAAAAGAAATAATATCACTATCATTTATCAATGTTTTATTGTTAATATTTATGATGAATATTAAATAGTTTTAGTTTAGATTTTTTAAACAGATATAGTGTAAATCTGAGTTATTAAATTGTTGTCACATTTTCATTATTATTAATAATATGAATGTATTTTTTAAAATAAATATTTCAATATGTTTTTCTTTCAGAGACTATTACAGCTTTGTTTAAAACAAACTTCCGAGTTGATTTCCCCTTTGACCCCCAAGAATTGATTGCATTTTCTTTTATTGGGTAAGAATTAATATGTTTAATATATTTTTCTCCTGTCTCCTGACTTTTCTTATCTGTGCTTACACAAATATATATTTTGTTTGAAAATCTAATATAATTATATTTATATTTGTTTACTTTGGCAGTGTTGTGTGTGGATTTGGAGGTGCCTTGTTTGTTTATCTTCATCGTAAGATTGTTGATTTTAACCGTAAGCATAAACAGTTTACAAGATTCTTACAGAAGAAGTAAGTAAAATAATTATAATTCTTTAAAAATTTAGAATTTAATAATTAGACAACCTTATTCAAATTTATGTTGTTAACATCATTATTTATATCATTATTATAATCATTGTCATCATTATTGTCAGTAATCATCATTCAAGATTCAAGAAATTGTAGTTGTCCATAAAATACAGAAAATTGAAATGCTTGATAGATGAATATAAAAAATAATACAGTATCGTTATTGTTCTAATCATTTTGAGGATCATCATCATTATCATCATCATCATCATGATTACAATTTTAATCATTAACAATTTTTGTCATCAAATACCTGTACTGCATGATTTTATAATCTATTTATCACCATTACCTTGGTCAAAATCACCAATTTGTTTATCAAATTTCTCTATTAAGTTTTATTGAAATGTCTGTCTGAATAGTTTTAACTAAATGATGAAAAAACCTCCAAGTAGACATAATCTACATGTTTTATGTGCTTACATCACTACACTTTATCAGGCAATGAACTACTAGTGGTGTTATTGTCAATTGTAGTATATCAACTTTTTTTTTTTTTTTTGCATTTGTCTAGTTGAAAGACAGTTCAGACGCATAACATTAAAACCAGTAGTTATTCCAATAATTTTTTTAAATCATCATTTTCATCATTGTAACTTTATCAAGTTAATCATAACAATAACATGATCATAATCACCTTTTCATATAACTAACTAGTAATAAACTATATTAAAAATAAAATTAAAAAAAAAAATTACACTGCTCATTTCTTTGATCATTACTATATTGTATTTTGTTAGAATTACCTCAACAATTGAATATCCCACTCTGTCCGTCTTACTTTCAGTCGTTTTATTTATCCAACATTGGTTGCATTATTCATCACTTCGATTACCTTTCCACTGGGACTTGGACAGTTCATGGCGGCAGAGGTCAGTGATATCTAATTAACCATTCAACATTCAGTCCCCATCATACACAATTCCTAATCAATTTATATTATTGTTTTATATTATTTTATTATTATTGTTTTTTGTGCGATTGTATTAAGCAAAGAGGTTGTTGATAGTGACAAATGATGATGATGACAACAACAATGACAAGGGATGATGCTAGAGGTGGGGATGATGGTGGTGGGGATGATGGTGGTGGTGTTGATGACGGTTGTGGTGATGACGGTGGTGGGGATGGCGGTTGTGGTGATGGCGGTTGTGGGGATGATGGTGGTGGGGATGATGGTGGTGGGGATGACGGTGGTGGGGATGACGGTGGTGGAGATGACGGTTTTGGTGATGACGGTTGTGGAGATGCCGGTGGTGGAGATGCCGGTGGTGGGGATGACTGTTGTGGTGATGACGGTGGTGGGGATGATGGTAGTGGGGATGACGGCTGTGGTAATGACGGTGGGGGGGGGATGATGGTAATTGGGATGAGTGTGGTGACGCTTTGATGATGAAGGCAGAGGTGGTCATGATAGCATTTGAGGCTGGTAATGGGGACATTGATTATCAAATATAATGACATAAATTTATTTGTTTTTATTGAATTTAACCATATGTAAGTATTTAAAGATCAATTCTTTATTCTTTTTTACAGTTGACTCAAAAGGATCAAATTGATGAATTATTTAGTAATACGACATGGGTTGTAAGAGAAAAGGTTGATATAATTCCAGATCCAGCAACATATTGGGAAAATCCAAATGTGTTTGTAACGCTTGTTAGTTTTATTGTTATGCAGGTATGTGCGATCAAACCTTAATAATATTAAAGTTCAATTTTCCACTAATTTTTTGTTTTAATCGTTATCTTGTAATGTAGTTTCATTTATGTAGTGTCTTATGAATTCAGTACTCTTTAAATATAGGATAAATAATAATAATAAAACAAGCAATCAATACCACCATCATATTGTAAAATAATATACTGTATAGGTATTGATTAAATTGACATGAATATATACAGTACTATAAAAATTGTTCATCAAAAATGTAATTACAATTATTTATATTGTTTGATTTAAAATAAAATATTTTCTGCAATCTTGTGTAGTTTTGGATGGTGGCCCTGGCCATTACACTCCCTGTTCCTGCCGGTGTTTTCATGCCTGTCTTTATTATCGGAGCCGCTTTTGGACGTCTTGTGGGCGAAAGCATGTCAGCCTGGTTCCCAGACGGAATCAGTAACGGCCATTTGTTGAATAAGATTGTTCCTGGCGGATACGCAGTTGTAGGTAAGATTGTTGCCACTCCTTATTGTGAGTTCTGGGTTAATAACTATGTTTGGGTGGTGGACAATTCAAAGGCTGGGTGGGTGATAACGTTGGTAAACTCTAAATAATATGAGTGGATTTTAAGGATGGGCAAGCGTTTAATAAAGGAGGGTAGAGATCAATGAAATTAGCTCTTGACTGGATGGAACACTTCAAGGCTGGGTAGCTCCGACCACCATAACTACATCCCTGTGAGTGTAACACTGTTACAGTAACAGGGATCAGTAACACTGATTCAATCTCTACAAGAAGCATTTATTTATTTATTTTATTTACTATTTAATTTCTTAATTCTAGTCTTATTAAATTTATAACTAATAGTACAGTAAAATTACAATAATTAAAATAATAAGGCTATGTTCAGACTTGAAATTAAGCCAGGCTTGAGTTAAGCCTGGCTCAACACTAAGCCCGGCTTAACTTTGGCAGGCATTCAGAATAGCAGGATTAGCCAGGCGCGAGAATTTTCATAATAATGAACTGTAACAATCAAACTTGTTTCAAAACATTGCTCGCGAAACGTAATTGAATGCTGATTGGTCATTTTGTTACCCGAAGTCAATGCAAGACCCCCCACAACGATTAAAGCCCGGCTTAGAAAAGTTAAACACGGTGGCACGCCAGACCTAGTTACTATAGGAACACAGCCCGGTTTGAGATAAGCCACCTTAGTTCAAACTGGCAGGTGGATAAACCTGGTGAGTTGAGCCGGGTTTATCCACCTAGTCTGAACTAGGCCTAACAGTAATAATGATAATAGTAATTTTAATAATAAGAATATCAATAAGAAGAAAAACAATCATAATTGTAATAATATTAATAATTGTGTCTACTGGCTGTATGGTTGTTTCTTACACCACATTCGCAATATCATCAGTGCATGCACGCTTTACTCAACATTGAGGTCCAGTGCAGTAACCATACAGGTGCTGTCAGCTATGGTTATACACTTCTATATCTTTGTTTATTTTAACTTTGATTATAGGTGCTGCGGCCTTATCAGGCAGTGTTACCCACACAATCTCAACATCTGTTATAGTTTTTGAGCTTACCGGGCAGATTACACATATTCTTCCTGTAATGGTAAGCTTATCGTTTAGTGTGCATTGTTGCTGAAATTAGTATAGGGATGTGGGTATAATTTTACTGACTTGAATACAAAATGGTGGTGAGTATGGCAGTGCTGAATGCGGCTTACACCTATTAAAATGATTTGTTGCACTTTAATGTTCACCTTGACAGCAACTGGTCATTTTTTCAGTATTTCATATTGTGTTCATGGTGTATATTGACGCTCTTTACAAGTAGAGGGGTCCTGAATCGTGAGAGTCTCCCAGCATTCAAGATGGCCTCACTCACTTAAGAAAGCAAATTCTCCAAGAAAATGACTAACTCGCACAAATTTTTTATATATTCATGTTTTTACCATTGTATTATCAATTGTCTCGTGGAAGTCACCTGATGATGTGCTCATTTCACTAGATCTGCCGGAAGTGGCTTCTTCCAACTTGGGACCCCAGGCCTGCAGGTTGATTGATTGATTGATTACTTTGTTTATGAATATTTTCCATCAATTAATATTCCTAGCAAGTGTCTGTTAGTTGTGCTCCTCATATGTTTCCTTAATGTTTTCATTTTAGTTATTGTTTTTTTTTTTCTTTCTGTTTCTTTTCAACAGATTGCAGTATTAATAGCAAACGCAATATCCCAGCTCCTGCAGCCTTCTATATATGATAGTATTATTCAAATTAAACGTCTTCCATATTTACCAGACATCAGTAGCTCAGGGCCCAGGTATGACCTTTCATCTGCCTTTTTGAATATACTTTTAATTCTAACTGACCTTTTATCAAAGATGTCATTTCTCAATAGTATACAGTACATTGACCGTTTTAAGTGACCATTAAATTACATTCTGTTGATACTGGTTCACAACAACAGCCCTGTTCAGACTATAAAAAGTTATTTTACAAAAAACATGTGACATGCATAAATATGGTCATAATGACATCAAATCATGACCATATATAGGCATATCATGACTATATATGACACATCATGACTATATATGGGCACATCATGACTGTACTGTATATGGGCACATCTTGACTATAATATATGGGCACATGACTATATGGGTACATCATGACAATATATGGGTACATCATGACTATATATGGGCACATCATGACTATATATGGGCACATCATGACTATATATGGGCGCATCATGACTAACATCATAAATTACTAACATCATAAATGTTATACTACAACTTTCTGTCTTGGTTCACCTTTTGCAATGTCACATGTTAACTTCATTTCTCTAGGCTGCTATAACATAATTATTGATTATGAGTGAAGAATAATTGAGGAACAGAAGATTAAAAACCATTTATCAGTCATCATCATCATTTAGAGTCGGTTGTCCCAGCATGTGAGGGTTAGACTGTTGAAAGGCTGTACAGTTAGGTATAAGGTGGATGCATCATGCGAGACCAGGTGGTGCGATCAGTGGCTGTAGAGGTTTAATCTGTCGACGTTCCCCTCACAACATCCCGACATGACTTAAGTGAACAAGGTCCGTCCCTCAGCTTCAACTTTTGTGATACGCCTTGGCAATGTGTCAACATTCTTAATTTTTTTCTCTTGTAGGATACATAATACATACGTAGAGGATATCATGGTACGCGGTGTCAAGTTCATCTCGTGGCTCTCGTGTTACCAAGACTTACGTGACCTACTGGATACATCAAATCTGAACTCATTCCCATTGGTTGATGCTCCTGGTAATGATCAACAATTTCTCCACTCTTTATCTTTGTTTATTATATTATATTTCTTTCAGCAGACAACCAAAAAGAAAAATATTAGAGTAGACCTCCTCCTTTTGGAGACTTTTTTTTTAGTCCCGAAGGTGTCTCCTTTATAAGGTTGTACAAGCCTGTAGCCAGAGGGGTTCAAACTTTTTCCTGAAATGCCCTTTTAAATTATTATTTAAAAGTACCATTTGCACGGAAGTTGTTGAAATTAACCCAAAATATTCATCTATTCAGACGTCTGAGATGTTATATCTTTAAAATTTACCCCACCCATGGTTTGGGGCTGAGGTGGGTAAGGACTCAAAGTGCCCTTTTGTGAAAAATTAGAAAACCCCCACCCCCTTTAAAAATCCAGCCTACGAGCTTGTGTACACTACATCAAGATTTTCTTCTGTCCCTAGATGGAGAATTTATTCATGTAATATTGGGTGTCTGGCCCATTTTTCTGAGGTCTGAGTATTATGGACATTTGAAACACTTGATATACCTCTAGTTGCCATGTTCATTGTTAAGTAATTGCTTTTTCTAATAATGATTACCTCTCTCTACATGATTATTGCAGAATCAATGATACTCTTAGGGTCAGTACAACGTGCAGAATTAGAGTACCTTCTTGACAAGAAGCTTGGCCGACTCGCAAGGATCCAGTACACAGAAAACAAGCGAAAACAAGCAGCAGCCGACTCGGGCCGTTTGCCCTCACAGACTATAACACCACCGAGCAGGTTTACAATTGTCTCTTACCATGTGAGTTGTCAATATAAATTTGTGGTGCCACAATCCTTCATGTTTGTCTAACAACAAAAATATTCAATAAATTACATTTTTTTTAATTATTATTATTTATTTTATTTATTCATTTTATGTTATTTATTTTTCTGTTGATCTTTCAACTATACCATAATAACTCTAACATACAGTACCATTTACACCACTACCACCAGCCCTACCCATGTGAACCACTACTCTGAATTGGTGGGTAGTAATATACCAGAACAAAAAAAACCATTAAATAAAAACCATGCAATAGGAAATTGTTAACTCATGGTAAAATAATACTTGTACAGCAGTTTACAAATTATCAGATGTAGCAAAAAATAATGATAGACTAGTTTAAACTTACCACATCTTTCAATATTTTTGTGTTTTTCTTTCTTCAGTCAAATGAAGGTAATGAGCCGAACTTAATAATTCCTATTAGCGAAAGTAAGTAACGTTTTATTATTATTCAAACAAAAATTTAAAATTGAATTTCTGAGATTTTTTTTGAACACTTTAAATTTGTCACAAAGCAAAATATGTTTCACATTATCGAGTAATAAGTTATGCAGGCCCGTAGCCAGGTCATTTCAAGGGGGGTTCTCTGGGCGTGGTGTCCAGAGGTGGCACCAGGATGGGGGGTGCCCCGACGAGGGACCAGATTTCCCCCACGAAAGCAAAGTGGGCGTGGTCGAGCTTCAATTAATAGGTTCCAAAAGTGGTCCTGGGGGTGAAGCCCCCGAAAATTTTGCCAATTCAGGGGTTTTAAAGGCTTATTAAATCGATATTATAGTCCCCCCCCCCCTATGGCCTGTACATTTCTTACAAACATTCAGCCAAAGGCCAGTGAAAGTTGAGACGGCAGCCGTGTTTTTATTGATGTTTGCCATCCTTATGTGTGCTATCGTAAAGGAATTGCGTTTTAATTTAAATCTCCGAACTTCTGGAAGCTGACATATTCTATGAATGTAGGCTTGTAATGCAGGCTACAATTTAAAAACAGGTGGGACTCATTCAAAAATTCGAGGGGGTTCGCTAGAAAAGGGGGGGTTCGCCCGAACCATAAAAACCCCCCCGGGCTACGGGCCTGTTATGTAATCTCATAAACAATAGTGGTTTGGTTACTACTAAAAAATGGTCAGTGTTTACATTTGTTAACTGTAATATCTTTACAGATCCTAATGGCAGTATATCAAGTAGAAAGGTAAGTTAATGTTCATAACATGACAGTGGAATTAGACGCAAGATGAGATGACAGGAATGAAAAGAGTATTGCAAATTTTTGCTTGAAGAGAGATGATGAGATGGGCTTTAAAGATACAAAGAAAAAAATACAAAAAAAAAATACAGGAATATACCACAAAAATTCAAATAAAACTTTGAATAGCTTAGTTAAAAAGATCAAATAAATTATTAAGCTTTCAACGATACACAGATAAAACAAGTAGTTTTCACTGATTTACAGACATTTTATTACAAAAATGCTTATATTGGTTACCAGTCAGTTTAAGGATTTGCAAAAGAATACAGAAAAGTTATTTAGCGATTCGAAAATTGAAGGGGGAATTTTTTCTCATATAAATAACTTATCTAAATATTCAGTTCATTTCAAAGTAATCTTTATTGTAATTTGTTAAAAAATTGAACTTTAACTATCAAAATCGGAAAAAAGTAGACAAACAGGAAAAATACCAGACAATAATTAATCATAACATTCAATATACATCTGATTAATTTATAAAAATAAAGTTATACAAATTAAGCAACTCAAATATGGAATTAAAATTGTTTATCTCATGACCGATAGTACATCTTTAGAAGAACAGTAACATATAGTTTGTTACTTGAAACTAGCTGTTCGCTCTACATTATGTTGATTCCTCAAAACTTTTAAAAGTAACAATTCTTTTTTGAAGTACCATGCATGCATTCTGTATATATATCTTAGTCCATCTGCGTACCAGTCTCAATGTTGTAAGCATGTATATGAATCGGTTTGTCATATTTAACTCAGTACTGTTTGACCTGTGACTTTCCTCTTCCTTTCTGAAACAGACCTCTGACCCTGTCAATGATATGCAGCCTAATCACAACGAAAAATCCAGCAGCCAGGAAAGTAGTTCCTTAACAACATAGATTGCATCTTTCTCTTTTCAGCATGTTTAATGGAATTTTTTGCTACATTTTGGCATTTAGCCAAATTAATTAAATTACCTTAAACTATATAGAACTATGCAGTGGCACATCCAGAGTTGGGATACACAAATGAGATCTAAAGTTAATGCACATGGGCCCCTGCCCAGCTCACTTCCCCCTCCCCTCCCCCCACTTGCAATTGTTGATATTCTTGATCTTTTTGATGACAAAGCATTTATTTTGTCGATTAATTTACTATGCCAGATTTTAATTTAAGGGAATTCATTAGTTTTGCCTTATTTTTTATTAATTCTCTTTTGGTTTATATTATGTTATTTTATTTCAATACACATGCAAACAGCTGGTAGCCAGCCAATAGCAGGATAGAATACAGTAAAATATTTACAATCTTAAAATACATTTCATTGTATATATCCAGAAAAGACAATAATAAAGGAATAAATTTAGGTTAAATCTAACAAACCAGCTTAAGTTTGCTTTTATTCAATAAAAGAATTGCATTTAAAAAGATGTTTAAATAATATTGGCAACCTATACTGTGGTGACGCCAGCGAGGAGGAAGGGGTCTGGAACCCTTGTCGACCAACGCCATGAAGAGGTCTTCTGACCAAAGATAAAAAAATAATAATTTGCCTATCCAAATAATGTTATTTTGATTGTCAATCCCTAATGTTATCGTCTATAAGCAAAATTTGGACTATACTAAGCAATAGAAACTCACACCATGAACCCTAACAGGGATTTTTTGATGGGACCCGGACCGAGGCTCTAGTCAGCTCCTTTGTTCGGACCCCATCGGACATGTCGTACCATTTGTCAGCAAATTTATGGAGCCACCACTGAACCTATCAACAAAACCATTAACCAATGATTGGAATGATTCCCCTATGTTTAGAGTCTACTTAGTAGATCTGGGAAAGAAATTGTGGAAAATGAATATGATCTGATCCCCCACGGATTTGCTACTGCACATTATATTATAAGGTAATTTATTGATTAATGTATTTCCATAATAGCAATCTTCTTGGAACTAATGCACATGTTTCTCATCAACCTAATTGACTACCGTAAAACCTTGAATAGAACCACAAGGCAGCTTCTTTTGGATGTGCTTTTTTTTTTTTTTTCGAGATGAGCTTCTTTTGGAGGCTACTTTTCCAAAGTAAAGTGTGAGGTGGTGTGGAGAGGCTTCTTTTCAAAATGAATGCTGTACATTTACTACTATAAAACAATAAATAGGGCCACTGTATAATATCACTGTGTATCATGGCTGATTATATTAACCGTTATTAAATCACCTAAACTACTCTGTAAACCAAGCAGGTTTTTAATATATTTTGTTTCTTTGAAATTCATGTACAGTGTATGTACTATACTACTGTATCTCGAAAAGAAGGCCATGTGCTTCTTTTCGAGATGCACTTCTTCTCGAGATTAAGCCCTTTGGGTTTCTATTTAAGGTTTTACGGTATGATTCTTGTGATGATTCTAGTTTGAATGTTTTGCAAATTTGATTTTCTTAGGTGGTGATTCTGTTTTTCTACTTCTTCCCTTTGTAAACTTTCTGGTTAAGTGTTGTTTTTTGTTTACTTTTTCCGTGTTCTCTCAGCTTTTCAATACCTCTCTATTATTTAATGTAATTAGATTTGCGAGCGTCTTCTATCTTCAATTTTTATCAATTGATGTATGCAGTCGGAAGTGGCTTGGAGCAGCAGTAACGGTTTGGTTTCCAAACCTTGAGGTCGGGGTTTCAGTCCCTTGCTGTGCACTTGGATTGTGTCCCTGAGCAGTGCACTTTGCATTGCTTCTCTTCACTCGGGAGTATAAATGGGTACCTGGTGAGGTTGCTTGCTACTGGGTCAATATGGCCGCAACACTTACGCATGTGGACCCAATGACCAGGGAAATCAGAGCGCTTTGTAATCTAAAGGAAATGTGCTATATAAATTCTAGGTACCAGAATACGAAAATGCATATTATAGATATTTTTTGTTTGTTTTTGTTAACCTTTTAAATATATAACATGTTGGTGTGCCTTTTCCAAAAGAAAGTCTATACTAAAATGTTTATTTACTTTCTTATTAATGATGTTGGTGTTTTGTTGATGCTGGGTGTTGGTGGTGGTAAAAAAAAAATAAGTGTGGTTGGGTATAAACTTGGATGAAAATGAGATGAAAATAAGTATGAGATTGGGTTCTTCCACCATCATTCACTGCAATCATATAACTAACAAACATTCAGTTGAAACTGTAACAAATGATGTAATTAAATTTGCAGAAAAGGTAATTACATTTTTAGCTGAAATTTTTGTTTTTAAATTAATATTTGATGAGATGTTTGCAATATGAATCATGTTAAGTGTTTAGCTGTTCACAATTGAGCGTTTCTGCACATGCAAGTGGATTATGATATTGTGCATGTGGTCTGTGTTTACATAATCTTTGCATATGTCTACATCACACAGAGAGGCAGATTCATGTATACACACATCATTTCCATTGCCTATGTGTACACATGCCCCTGAACATGTCTAAAGCCGGGAACACACCGCGTCGTTGGCCGACGCAATTTCATAATGAATGCAATGCAACAAGGTACATGCAATGGATCATTTTTAATGACGGTCTGCTCCGACTGATCAGCAAACGGTGACACGTCAAGCATTCGCAGAAAGCGGAAATGAATTCGTACAATGAAGTGTGTAACTGGCTTTAATGTATACATGACCTACACAATTGTACACACGCCATAGCATGTTCTGTGTGTACATACGCCATAATACAAGGTATATGTGTATGTATACATTAGTGTATGTGTACACATTACAGGAATGGTTCGTGTACATATACCATTGGCATGGTCACATAATATAAGCATGGTCTGTGTATGCACCTACCATAAACATGGTCTATCTGTACAAGTACCATAAGCATTGCGTATGTTTGCATATACCATAAGAATGATGGTTTACATGTAACATAAGCATAGACATGCCCAGATCGATACACCAGTATGCAAGTCGAGTGATCGATCGGTAAGGCAGGGGCGTCACTAACTACAGCCTTAACATTGGTGTTGGCTTGAGTCGCTCATCGTCCAGGATTTGGTTGGTAGAACCAAGTCTTCTTGGATGGACTTAAAATGGAGGTCGTCTGTGTACACATCTGGCTTGTGTGCACTTTAAAGAACCCATTGCTTCTTTCGGAAGAGTAGGGGATTACCCCGATGCTATTTTTTTTATTCAGCCCAGTCGTTTTCGAATGATGTGAGCATGTAGCAACTAAAAAGCGCCTTTTTATGATTGCTGGTAGTTACAGACCACGCCCATATCCTATTCTGCTACCTTTACCCTTTATGTGTGGTCAATGAGTACATCCTATTGGCTTGGTTTGCCTACACATCATACCAGACATGGTATATGTGTACACATAAGCTATTTTCTTTGTAAACATGGTCTTAGTGTACAAAATAACATATCATGTCTCTTGATTCATATTGTCAATAATGTTTAGTCATCATCATTTTTTTGCAGTATAAGAAACAATATCAAATTCACATTCTGTGTATTTTACTGCATTTTTATGTTCTACTTTATGGTTTAAAAGTAACATTGTCATTTTCTTTTCATTTTTTTTCAACAGTCATCAGTAGCAGATCTGGATGATATGACACCAGAAGAGGTTTGTATAATAATTACATAAAAAGTGTCCACATAGTACACATACAATAAGTGAAATTGTAATAATTATTAAAGGGTTTGATATTGCTATGAGCTGCACCTCTGCTAATCAAGTATGAAACTCATGAATGAAGATAGGTTATAGTTTATTTATTTCGATTTTTAAAGGTTGAATTCACAACATTACATTTCATAAATTTCACCTTTGGAACACACAAAGAAATACAAATAGTAAACAAACTAGTAAGAGGTAGACAGGATGATCAAAAGAACAGAAAATGTATGCAAGAGTTAAAAATCACATTCCATAAAAAAGACAGTACATGTGTCAACATTTAGCAAGCTATGTTTAAATGAATTGATGAAATATGGAAGGGAAAGATCAAGCAAGACTAACATTTTAAGGTAGGTCGTTGAACATCCGTGGGAAAACATTGAATATATAATAATGGACAGCATTAGTTCTGGAAATACCGTGTAGCGTGATCAGTGTGGAACAAATTCTGAGAGATATACAACTTTCAATAGAAATGTTGATTTTCGTATATAAAGCCAATAGCCATGAATGAAATCCCTCAAAAAATTGAATCTTGATGGTTTGTGTAAATGCGGAATATAAATACAACAATTTACTTAACTGATGTTAAACTGGTAAAATTTTAAACATAAACAGGTGCGCTATCATATTGGAGCATACACTTCATTCAGTTCAAATATAAACTTGGAAATGGTTAAATCAGAGGTAATGTGTTCAGGAAAAGATTTGACGTTCAAGAAAATATCACCTATAAACGCTAAAGACTTGCAGGTGCTTAGTGCATCTCATCCCTTTTTTTAAATAATAGTAAATCAATATTTATAATCTCCTGTTATAAAATGAGGTTAATGATAATAATATTGAGGTTAATGAAAATAAAATTGTTTTCCTATTTCGTATTTATTTTATTACTCAAGATTTTTAAATATCAATTTTTACTTACATGTAATTTTAAATTTTATGTATTTATGCCTACGTATTTTTCTTATTTTACTATATTTTCTGAATGTTGCCTGATCACTAAATATCTGTAAATATTCACCTCTGTGCAAATTCCCCTGGCTTCTCGACCCATTGGAAATAAGTCTGGTGTAAAAACAGTACCTTAAGGAGAAAGTAGTATCACTAAGGGGAAACTAAAACGACCATAAGGCAAAATCATAGACGAAAGAGTTTCCCCTTAAGAGCCGAATAAAG